TTCTTTTCCGAGTTGAGAATATTTTTCATAGTCGCACACGAGCACTGTTTACGCTGTATAAAAGCGGTTGTAGCACCTTCAATTAATTCAGCTTTCCTGTCCATATTGTCTCTTCCTACCATTGTTGCGCTGTTACTGCAGTAATACTGCAATGGGTGGACTCGCCAAAATTAGGCTCTTGTCCAAGCAATGCTGCTGCTGCCTCGCAGCGCTCTTAAAGTCGGCACATGCAGTAGCATTGCAGTGATGCTTTTCCATTGGCTGCTCACATGGTGCCGTAAATGGCGACACACTATCTCGAAACACTGTATCTCTTGTAGAGCCAGCCTGACCTCCAACGTTGGGAACTCGAAGAATTCAAGCCACTGCCCCACGGATCTGTACACAACAGAACAAAACAATTGCTCCATATGATTTCCGTTGGGAGGCACCACATGATGGGTTCTCTCCCCCAGGACATCAAAGTACACGCGAAGGCTAGGCGATGGGTGAGAACAAGAAAGGGCCAGAGGAGAAAGTAGAGAACGGCGGGATTCGGCGCGTGTGGCTGGCATTGAAATAATAGAGGAGGTTTGACGTAGGTCGGCATTAAATATGGTATTCACAGAGAGTCATTCAAAAAATGTATCATGTGCTTTAGACTCATCGGACTCTGACTCTCCAAAATTTTTCAGTGTTGGATTCACTCGGACTCGCACAAAAATTACCTTCAGCTGGACTCATTTGGACTCAACCTCACCATAATATTGACACCAGCATGTAGTGGGTTTCTGGCTGTTGCGTGGCTAGTGTCATCATTACTTGTGCGTGTCGAAGGATTTGGTCGGCAGAAAAGACGATGACGAACTCGCGCTGCTCGATCGAAGCTGTTCCGCTGTTTGCTAGACTGTTACTTGCACTGATTGTATAACCGTGACAAACTGGTGGAGGTGCTGGTTACAATCCCAAAACGCTAGTTTTAACTCAAGCCGCTTCAAGCTTCTGCCACCATTTCAACGATTCCGGAGGAAAACTTGGCACTTCGCCTTAGCCGCCGCTTGCTAGGACTACCTCCTGAATTTGGTCCCTTCAGCTTGGCATTAACGACCACCACAACGGCAAGTCAGACGCAAGAGAGCAACGTAGACCAACTTGCACTACCCCAAGCGTCGTCTACACAGCATGTAGATGACTGGAGGACGTAGATGACTGGCTAGATCGAGTCGCAGCCGCCTACGAATGCGAATGGAACAGCACCAAGAAGCTTTGCTACGCCTATTTTGCACTCGAAGACTATGCTCGCATCTTGTATGAGAATCATGAGCCGTCTAACACCAACTGGCAAGAATATCAGCGACAGCTATCCCAGGCATTCAGAAATCCCGAAAGGAAAGAAAAGGCTGAGCAGGCTCTGCAGAGCCGGGTTCAGAATCCAAATGAAAACGTGGCTATGTTTGTCGAAGACATGTCATCCTTGTTTAAGCGTGCTGACCGAGGGATGGATGAAAGAAAAAAAGTTCGACTCCTCCTGCAGGGTGTCAAGGAGCAACTTTTTGCTGGACTCGTAGGCAAGCCCCCAATCACTGTCCATGAGTTCATCGCGGAAGCTACAATCATGAAACGGGCACTTCAGCAACACTCTCTACAGTAAGACCGTCAAGCTTCTGTTGCCGCAGTGTCATCTTTCACCTGTGGACAGGACTTATCAGCGCTCCGTGAACTTGTGCGGAGGGTGGTCCGCAAGGAGCTCGAAAAAGTCCGTCCCACATCTGCTCACCGAAGTGCGACAATTTTGGGAGACATTATTCGCGATGAACTCAGGAATGTGACCCAACCATCGCTCCCAATGCGTGCGGAAGCTCCTGCTCTTGTCTTACGCCGAAGCATTGAGAAGTCCTCAATCTTCTACTGGACGCCGGCCACCCTCTACTTTCTCACCATCGCCTGTCAATTCGCAACTGCAAATAACTACGCGAGCACTTTCCAGTATGACGTTCCGCGTGAAGTCACCCGTAAATCTGACTTATGGCGCACCTCTGACAACAGGCCTCTTTTCTACCACTGCGGCGAAGTGGGCCATCTGTACCGCCAGTTTGCGTATCGCAGGATGGGCCTTTTCAGATTTCAGATTTTTTATTGGTACGAATACAAGAATGTGACACGTGTTTAGTATACAAAAGGAGGTCCCAAAGTCAAAGACTGTATCGGGACCTCCTTTTACGGAGGTTTCGATACCTCCTTTTACGGAGGTCAATGTGCGTTAGGGGTTTCACCCTAATGCGCGTCGACCTAGCAACGGGGAGCATCCTCGCGAGATTCAGCAATACCTAGCAGCGTAGCAGCCGTTTCCTTCTGCACAAAGCCACCGGCCACGCTCACCTTCTCTTCGGCGCCTCGGCTCGCCTAGTCGTTACGCCACGTTTTCTGGTGTACCAAACAGGTCCCCAAGTCCTGGCCCACGCCAGGAAAACTGAGGCCAGCGGCCTCTGGGGGTAGGGCCGCTGTTGACCGAACTGACCAACATCCTCCGCCACGACACATTGACGCCGCCGATATTTCTGTCACGAAATTTTCTGAACGTGACGCAGCAATTTCCGCCGATATTTCCATAACCGTCGACAATCACTCGACCATTGCACTCGTGGATACTGGCGCCGATTACTCCATTGAGTGGTGACTTCACGGCTGCTCTCCGAAAAGTGGTGACGCTATGGAACGGTCCGCAGCTCTGTATCGCGGGTAGTCATCTAGTGACGCCGTTTGGGAGGTGCACTGCTCGAGTACATATTGGCGCTTCGACCTTCATCGGGACTTTCGTCGTACTGCGGGAATGCTCCAGGCAGGTCATCTTGAGATTAGACTTCCTTCGAGAATATGGGGCTATTATAAATCTCCGAGAATTGCTGGTGACGTTTTCACGTAACGAACATTCTCAGGATTGTGAATCGCGTATAATGGCGTTGCGTGCATCTGACGATTCAGTGACAGTACCGCCCTGTTCCAGTGTTCTGGTTAACGTGCTGAGTGACATCAAATGAACGGCTCTTGAAGTTGTGGAAGGCAATGTGTTCGTGCTCTTGTCTCATCAAGTATGCGTCGCCCGTGGCCTCATAGAATTGATACAAGAGCCTGCGAAAATTCTACTAACAAATTTCAGTCATGAATACCAGCACTTCATGAGGCAGTGTGTCATCGCTTACTTCGAAGAAATCGGAGACTCTAAAGCCAGCTTCTCACTCGCGCAACTCTCTTCCGGTCCTCGTAACGACAAACAGTCTACGGTTAAGCTTGATGTAAACTGCGCACTGTCGACTTTAAAGCAAGAGAGTCTGCGCTCCCTCCTGTTTTCCTTCAGTGATTGCTTTGCCACGACGTCCAAAATAAAACTGACAGCCGTCGCAAAGCACAGAATCATAACAGAGCCCAGCGAAAGGCCTATTCGACAACAAGCTTATCCAGTTTCCCGCAGAGAACAAGACGCCATCCACGATCCAAGTACAACGAATGCTTGCTGACGGCATCATTTAGCCATCTACAAGCCCATGGGCATCAACGGTTGTCTTGGTGAAAAAAAAAAAAGATGGCACATTGCGTTTCTCTGTTGATTATCGCAAACTGAACACCGTGACAAAGAAAGACGTTTATCGGCTTCCTTGCATCGTCAACTCACCCGACCGCCTTAGAAACACCCGATATTTTTCATCCATGGAGCTGCGCAGTGGTTATTGGCAAATTGATGTCGATGAGCGTGACCGGGAAAAGACCGCCTTCATTACTCCTGGCGGGCTCTTGGAATTCAAGATGCTTCCTTTTGGACTGTGCTCTGCTCCCGCGACTTTTCAACGAATGATGGACACAGTTTTGTCCGGTCTCAAGTGGCAATCGTGTCTTGTCTATTTAGATAACGTCGTCATCTTTTCGTGCCGAAGAAGCTTGACAACTAGGTCGCTTGCGCATTCGCTCTCAGCAACAACACGATGCTCTTAGGTACAACCTTCAGCACAGAGAAGTCACCTACCACCACGAAGAAAAAGTATGGCTCTGGAGTCCTGTACGCCAACGTGGCCGCTCTGAGAAGCTCTTGCGTCGTTATTTCAGCCCTTACCAGGTTCTTCAGCGCCTCAGCGATGTAAACTATGAAGTTATCCCAGAGCCCAGCCTGCAGTCCTCCCGTCGTGGTGCCCAGCCTGACATCGTCCACGTGGCTAGGATGAAGCCGTATTACTCACGCTGAAGACTTGCTCTTGCCTTCATACATTTGAAAGCATCGAGTCGATGCTTTTCGAGAGGGGGGGTAATGACACGAGCATGTAGTGGGTTTCTTGATGTTGCGTGGCTTGTGTCATCATTACTTGTGCGTGTCGAAGGATTTGGTTGGCAGAAAAGACGACGACGAACTCTCGCTGCTCGATCGAAGCTGTTCCGCTATTTGCTATACTGTTACTTGCACTGATTGTATAACCTAGACAATATTATTCAACCGGACTCGCTCGGGCTCGGACTGATGGCTCGATCTGAGTCTTGAGTTTAGTAGACTCATCAGTGAGTTTGTTGACCTATGTTGTCTAGAGGAATATTTGTCTAGAAATCTTTTATACTAGTGTGTTTTTGGTGTCTCGTGTGCTGATTGTTTTAATATTATTATTATTATTATAATTTGTTTACATATGTGTGCTTCTTGTAATCTTACCTATGATGGCATCATTGTGGTGCTGCTTTTACGTACAATTCTCTGTAAGACCTTTTTGTGAATGGGTGAATTCAGGATACGCTTGTTGGTATTGATTTTGGTATGTTTGTATGCCCCTAGTGCTTTGGGCTGGCAACTTCAGCTTGCAGTATGATGAAATACATAGAAAAAATTGGAACTTGAGAGATTTCTGTTTCATCTTTGACCTTGCATGAAATCCACTCAATTGGAATTCACAAGATTCTGTTTACCCTGCTTACTCAATGAAAATGAATTAAATGTTTGGTTGCAATGCATTTGAACAAAGTGTGCGATTCGTAATATTTTGCAGCAACTGCGGAAGCTGATTCTGGAGATCATACATCGCATTCCAACTAATGACCATTTGCGTCCCTATGTCAAGCAAATCCTCAACCTCATGTTTGAGCTGCTCAAGGTGAGTGTCTCTTTGCCATGGGGGTCATTGCATGATCTTCGTGCAAACTGTAATGGTTTTGCGACTTTTTGTTTGTGTCCGATGTAAGCCCAGGGTTCGTAGTGGTCTTTGAAAACCTTTGAATTTCAAAATGGCCTTTTCGAAGTCCTTTAAACCCGTAAATTTGTTTTAGGTCCTTAAAAGACCTTGAATTTCGTCAGAGTTTGTTCAGCCATAATCTAGGGGACTTTTTTGTGTGCCTGGCAACTATGTGCTCTCTAGCCAACAAACCATATAATCAAATTTTTTTCTTTTCTCTAGCCACATTGGAGTGTTCTAGTACAGTGTACTCTTCTAGTACACTGTAGTTGTGGTATCGCTTGCATGGTTGCAGCAGCAACGACGGAGCTAAGCCTGGCTTTTTTGAGGAGACTGCAAGTGTGTGCAGGTATTTGCAGTCATGTCGCTAATGGTGGAACTATGTCGGGCAAGTGCAAATTCCAGTCGTCTTGGTTATGCATTGCTGCTTATAGGGAGTTGTGGCGTCTCACTGTGGCGAGAGCACCACCACGTTGTTGGAGTGAACGGACACAGCAGACGCGGTCGGAACAAACCAAATAACAACACACATTTATTTAACTACTTTTAGAACAACAATATCGTCAGCCAAATTATTATAACATCAATCGCAATCAACACGCTTAGACATCCTTATACAATAATAAACAACACTCAACAACATGACAAACAAAACGGTGTCACTAACGCCTGACTCACCACGTCGGCCTACCGCAGATGGCTTGCGGTGCCGTCCACGGCAGACCCACCGCTGGAGGCAACCGCCCGCGCTACCGCCCCCACGCCAAAAGAGACTCGTTCAATTCTTTTGGGTCGCCACCAAGGCATGCCGCCAGGGGTCGCCGCCGGCACTAACATTTTCTAATGATGATGATGATGATAGTGGTGGTCAATTCTCGCAAACACAACGCCACCTACCGCTCAATAGTTGTGACCTTGAAATACGGCCTCTGCGCGAGACACATGCACCATGCAACGCAAACAACTGTACAGGAAGTGTCGGCACCCTCACAGAGTAGATTGCACCTGATACGTCAAACTCGGATCAGGCAAAGTTTTTCTATATGGGAAGAGTTTCGATGTGTCAGCTATGGGGAAGTCTGCCCTTAGTCATATGAAGAGTACGAAACACTTTGAGAACATAAAAGCGACTACAGTCCATGATAACTCAAGTGCGTTCATGGTGCCAATCGTACAAAATAAAGTATAAAACTTTATGCTGTAAGATGTGGCGTTGTAATTTTTTACGGTTTCAAATGTTATTTTATGTCCTTGAAAACTCTTTTTTTGTTTCACTCAGGTGCTACGAACCCTGAAGCCAGAATCTATAGAAAGATATGTAAACACAATCAATGTGCCATTCTCAGAGCCTGATATTTTTTTTCTGCCCCATAGCTCGAACTCTTAGCTGCCAGAAATCGCTTGTTTGTAATGGCTACCAGGACGCTTAGAGTGGCACCCCCCGCTGTGGTTAGGGTGATCGACTGTTGGCCCGCATGTCACGGCATCGAACCTGGCCATGGTGGCAAAGAATGTTCGAGACTTGGGTACTTTCACGTTCAAGAGTCTTGGGTAGTCGAAATTTCTGGAGGCCTCCAATATGCCTTTTCTCATAATAATGATGATGTGGTTTTGGGATGTCGTCAATATTATATTTATGGAGTGGCTGCTGGAACCCTGAAATTGGATAAGCAGTTCAGCTTGCTCAAGTCGATGATGGGCACAATGCTGCCACATTTATACAACTCTTCCTGAAAAGATGAAAGGCTCGTTTCTTGCAGCCTTTTCCAGACATTATTCTGCAAACTGCAAGGCCAGTATAATAATAATTGGGTCATCCCCTCTGCAATGTGCATGCAGCGAGGGACCTTGGTGTGATGAGAGCAAGAGCTGCAGAGGAGTTCCTGTGCCTTCTCTGAAGGTGTCCAGTTGAGCTTCTATGATTATTGTCTGTGAGCTGATAAGATCTGACCACTGTCCCAGAGCTGCTGCTTTTCGCTGGGGTGACTACAAAGCAGATTCACGGTAGTGCTGTTAGTAAAATGACCTGCGGATATGAGCAGGTACCATATTGAGAATATGCAGTTACGGGTTTCATTAACTGTCTGAGGGTCGATTTTTTTCACGATATTTAGTTCGAAAATGCATAATTTTTTTGTCCGGCAAAAGTAAATTTTTCAGATTTTACTCCCAAAAAACAATCTAAAATTTCATTGCACGACTGTAAAGTCGAAAAAAATTCTGTTTGTTGCTAAATTAAATACTCGTGGTTTATTTGTAATTACTTCAAACAAAATCCAGAAAAAAACAAAGAAGTTTTTATAAATAGAAGTTATGCATTCTAATAAACATGGCTCACGGGCATACAAAAAGAGGGTACTTTTTCAGTAAAAGAATCTAGCACTAAACACTGGGGAACTGTTGGGCCGATCCAGATCATCCTGCCATGCACACTTTCGCGATTTTGCTCCTTCATCATCATGATCAAAGTTTCACTGAATGCTCACCTCTCGAGCTGACATCCATTGAATGAGATTCTGATTCGGCGCATTGGAAGAATCCCTGCTCGACTCACTATCAGTAGGGCAACTGGCATGCACTTTTCTAGCATAAGGGAACTGCGTGAATAACCGTACAGAAGAAAACTGTGTTTGTACGCCCATCTGGAAAACAAAACAAGTGAAAAAGCCATAATGATTTTTTGTCTTTTGTGAAGACAGTTAGTTTTTCAGAGTCTCCAGAACAGAAAACGTAGCTGCGGTCACATTGTGTAATTTAAATACCACCCGAAAAACGAATTTCATCACTCCCTGGGAAGCAATAAATGAGAGATTCACAAGTGGGCCATGCTTTGAGAGGTTAGAAACCAGACAGCCTGCAGTTTTCCAGGTTCGAGAAGTGATAAGCACCCGGAGGACGGAACTGAAACCAGCTGCACCACATGGGTATCGATAGATGCGCAAGCGAAACCCTTTCCTTGACATTCTCAGAGTGTCGTCTCAGTTAACAAGCATTTGATGCCATTAAGCGATGCATATGTGGGCTAGGATCGGGCAACATGTACGAATTATCTGATTTTTTGAATTAACAAGTCAGATTAAGGAGACAGTTTAAGCAAAAATATTGAAAAAATCATTTTTTTGCAGCCAAATCTGCAGCCTTTTCTGAACCAAAATCAGTCATTTGCTCGTTTTAACGCGATTTTTTTTTTCTGTCTAAAAATTGCTTATTTCGAAATATATGTGGCGGCTTGCTTCACCCCTAATAGGTATGCTTCACTTGAGTGCTCACGTGGGCAGCTAAAAATGCGCTGAAATGAAGGGCACTAATTTTTTAACAAGTTTAGTGGGAATTTCATTTGGTCTGGCAACAAGTGCTTCATCTGCCGTGTCAATGTTTAGCCGCAGGTAAAAGTACTTTGCGGGTGCTTCTTGTACGTGTTATTTGCACATGTTGTTTGCAGAGTTTCAAAAAGTATTATGGTTTAGCCATTGGAAGAAATATAGGCAGCTTAGAGGACATGCGAAAGGCTGTCTGGGCCACATATTTCCACATGGCATCAAGGGATACCAATCCATCCCACGACCTTTGTCTGAAGGACGCTGATACCTGGGGCAAATTCAACAAAACCCAGTTCAGTGGTCAACCATACTTTCTCAATGATTACCTTCCGGCATCTGTTCTTGAGGCTGTTAAGCCAATTGATGAGCAACTAGTTATTCCTGAATCACTTGCAAAATGTCTCCCAGGAAAAAAAATCAAAACCCTAACGAGTCATTCAACAGTGTCGTGTGGGAGTGCACTCCAAAAAACATGTTTCTCGGACACGTAGCGCTGAAAATATGCAGTATTGACGCTGTTATCACCTTTAATGATGGCAATATAGCTCGTGTGAATGTACTGAACTTGTTTGGAATTTTGCCAGGCCGCTACACAGTGCAGAGACTATACGCACTTGACCTGCGTCGACAGTACTTCGCTGACAGGGCTGTGAAGCAGGCGACACAGGAGGCCAGCCAGGCCACATGCCTCAACTCAAAAAGAAAAAGCGATATTGGTGATGAGTAGAGACCGGATTATAGGCAAATGCCTATTGTGTTCCTTGCATATCTATCATGCCATTTTGATATATGAGCATGAATTAGTGGTTAAGAAGGGCATTTATGGTGTTTTTATAGTGCCTATAAATGCCTATTTTGGGTGTTCGTGCCTAAATCTCTATAAGTGCTTATAAATGCCTATTTTCCAAATGAGCGCCTATATGAGCGCTATTCAAGCCCAAATTTTGTTTTCGAGCGTGGTGTGAAGCAAATAATAATGTAAAAGAGGCAACATTGACATTTCCAAACACAATGAGGTTCAACGAACACAAAGCTGACATGCTGCGAGTAATTGGAGGAGGAGCATGATGATTGCGAAAGTCTCTATTTCTGCAGCCTTAAGTGGAAGCACGTCTCGGCGTCTGCAGGGAAGGAGGAGGGAGAATTAAAGATGGGGTAATAAAATAAAACTAACATCTGTGGCCGAGGACGCGGCGGCCGCCTTCTAAACACAGCTGTCCAGTGCCCTGAAAGAACTGAAGAACCACCCTGAAATCCTGGTATTGCGGTGGGAAAGGAAGGGTGGGTTTTTCTGGGCAGCCGCGGGTAGCTCGGAAACGAATGAAAAACCATGAAGGGCCGGCCACTCATGGAATGTCTTGTTGATTCAAAGGTGGTGAAGGTCGCCAAACCGTTATACATTCTACAGTGAAGCCAGAGACAGGCACCGGGATGTTTACAATCAATGGTGTATTTAGCATTCATTCATCATATGCTTGAATACGCTTGTTCTGTATGAGATCCCTTGTCATATGTCTTTAAGTGACAAACATGGCAAAATACAGTACAGGGCTTAGATGTTTGCCCTAACCCATTACTCAAAACTGATAGCTGTAATAATAT